CCCCAAAACCCCAAAACCCCATTTTCAAAGTATATACTAATAATGATGGTTCAGTAAATTACAAATACATAAATTCTGATTTCTATAATTACTATTAATATAGTATATAAATGTTCAAGAAATAAGTAAAAATACAGAATTCACATTCAGTGGCAAATAAGGATAAAAAGAAGCTCAAAGAATAGCTTGTCGCATTAAGGTATGATGTAAAAGCAGCTGAAATTTTCCTTGATGATAAAAACTATGATAACAATGAATTGATGATGGATAAAATACAGGCATCAAAAGCAGTGATATATTAAAGGAATAAGGTGCCACTGATGTTCACTCCTGATTCAAAGCTAGGTTATTACTTTCCAACTATCTACCTTTTATTTCAGCTCTAAGAAATTGGTTTAATGAAGTGTTACCTCAAAGCAGGAGTAGAGCAGTATATATTTAATGGGGCTGATTTAATGTGGCCAGGTATAAAAGCATTTGATTAGGAATCATTCAAAGTAAACTAGCTTGTGGTGGTCTATGCTAAAAATTAGTAATAAATAGGTGTTGAAAACATGGAATACTTCCCTATAGCAGTTGGTAAAATACTTGCGAACCAGATTCCTGATAATCTTAAAGGAAAAGCAATTCAGGTAGAGCATTATCTATATGATGAATTGTGGGAGATGGGGCCCAAAAAGATTCCTGATGAAATTAAAATTGATAAAGCTGCAGGCTTACCTGATGGGAGTTAGGAGGAAGAAACTAAATAAGAAGAGGCTAAGTAATCTGATACTATTTAGAACTCAGAGAGTAATTTGTAAGAAGAATCTAAAGGAGATGTTACTGAAGATAACTAGACAAAATAGGATTAGGAGGAGAATAAGGGAGAAACACCAATTTAGGGAGATGAAGAAGAAGGACTATTAGGATCTATACCAACAGAAGAGATGGAGCCTAGAATAATAGAAGCCTTTTTTAGGTCAATAGTTGAGGGAATCTAGGACGCAGATATCCCAATGGAACCTTCAGATCTTACCAAAGATCATATGAATCTTTTTTCTGATATCAACTATAAACTTGACTTCAAGCAGACTTCTTGGAAGAGGGTAACATTAGAATTCAAATGAATTAATATTTTAGATAGGAAAATTCTTAGAAGTCATGCACAAAAGAGGAATCATAGATTACAGTGAACCCAAAGGAGTGAATCATAAAATCATTACTAAGATTCATAGGCTTAATGAAGAACTGAAGAGTTATGTTCCAAGGTTTTCCTTGAGAAAAAGTAAAAAGCCGACAGTTCAAAATCAAAATCAAGACTCATAGATGAATCAATAAAGAGTTGAGATAAATGAGGTGTATTAGTTCTCTAAACACTTTAATGCTGTTGTTATGAATGTTAAAGAAATGGATTAAACCTAAAAGTACTTCACATTGAAAGATGCTAGAGATCTAATTAGTCAGTATATAAAAGAGAATGATCTTGAGGCTAATGCGAAGAAAGGATGTATAAAGCTAGATCCAATTCTTGCTTAGATAATCTAAAATAAGAGGTCTATTGATTCTGATAGCTAAATTAAAAAAGATGAGATTTTCAAGTGCATTCAGGATCATTTGATTGAATGCTATTCAGTGACATTATGCGATAATAATGAAATAACTATAAGAGATAGAGTGAAATATCATAAAGGTAAAATTCCTCAGGTCAAAGTTCATGCCAGAAGAGTACATAATAAAAAACAAACGTTAATTACTGGATTGGAACTCTATCAAATCGATTACGAGGAACTTTGCACTTATCTATAAAACAAACTAGCATGTTCAGTTACACACCAGGACCTTGAACAGACTTCAAAGAATCCTAATTAAGGAGTTTATATTCAAGGGAATCACTTAGATTTGGTAAGTAGCGAAATTCTTCCAAAGAGGTATGGAGTCCCTGCAAAGTATATTACAAAAATAAACGATTTAGGTCAGAAAAAGGGTAAAAAGTGACATAATTAATTAATACATATTTTTGATTTTATAAATTCAAACTTCAAATTTTGAATAACGGGGTTTTGGGGTTTTGGGGTTTTGGGG